ACACACACACACACACACACACACACACGGAATAAGACAGATTGCTCACAGATGTTTCATTTCAGTTATTTGACATGTTTAAACTGATCAAACCCTAACTCATACACGTGTATGATCTGATCTGACTGAAGTCGTAGGTCACAGAAACTGGCAGCATTGAACGGAAACCCGTGGAGCAGAATCTGGGTCGGTGTTTGCGGTTGGCACCTTTTCTTAGATGAAAAGGAGAAGAGTGTGACTTCTGTACTTTCAGCTGCCAAACAGAACAGCAAAACCAATGACTGTCCTCAAACAGGTTTCATCTGCATTGATTGGGACAAACGGATAGTCCCGGCTAACAAACGGCATGCTCAAACAAACAGAGCAAAGTGTTAAAAAGTGTCAGGAAGTCAAACTACAAACAGATTGCTTACAGAGTGAGACGGTATTTTAACATTTTAATAAATCGTTTTCTGTCTCTTCCTATTTACAGTAAAAATGTCATCCATACTGTACATAAAACCATAGGTTAATGTTTGGAGCTAAAATCTTAAAAATTAACATAGGACTGCTCAACAGAATGTGTGACAATCCAGTTTTGCATTATATAATTACAAAAGCATAGTATGTATCCCACAACAAAATCATAAGAAATGTCTTTTTATATACATAATTAATGCTATTTTTTTCATATTTTATTTACAGCTGCTTTTTTCTGCCCACAGAATGGTTGATGTGCAAGAGTTTTCTTTATCTCATTCTCAGCACACTCTGACGTACCTCTGTAAATCAGAAAATATCATGAACCACATCAGGTCTGGTTTCATGTTCAAGCCACAAAGAGGCCTTAGGATTCGTCTCTGGGGCCTCATGAAGAATTTTGTGGTTGATATTTTGAGGTTGCAATCAGAGAAACGGTTGAGTTCCAGAAGTAAAAGTCCAATTCATATTCTCAAAAAAAAACCTCTTTCTCTTTCTCTCTATATATATTTATATTATTAATTGATTATATTATTACAAATATTTCTTTTTTTTTTTAAAGATGACTCTTCTGCTCACCAAGGCTGCATTTATTTGATCAAAAATACTTTAAAAACTGTAAAAATTGTGAAATATTATTGCAATAACAGCAAATAGCTGTTTTCTATGTGAATATATTGTAAAATGTAATTTATTTCTGTGATGCAAAGCAGAATTTTCAGCATCATTACTCCAGTCTTCAGTGTCACATGATCTTCAGAAATCATATATAATATGCTGATTTGCTGCACAAGAACCATTTCTGATTATTATCAATGTTGAAAACAGTTGTGCTGACAAAAATGTTTGAGGAAACTTTTTTTCAGGGTTCTTTGATGAATAGAACGTTCAAAAGAACAGCATTTATTTGAAATAGAAATCACTTTTTCACATTATAAATGTCTTAACTGTCACTTTTGATCAATTTAATGCATCCTTGATGAATAAAAGTATTAATTTCTTTTTTGGCCTCGTTTTGTCTAGTTTTTCTCCTCCTCAGAGAGAGAAAAAAAAAAAGAGAGGAAAGATTCATCCGGGAATGATTCATGTTATGATTCATCCGGGAACTTTACAACTTGACCCTGAGTACTCACATTTAGTGTTCATCTAGAAACTAAACCAGTTTCTCTGTTTAGCTTTGCCTCTGACAGGCATATGGTAGCGCACCTCCCTCCAGAAGTGCGCCGAGGGCTCCAGAGAGGTCACACGCTCCTCTGACTTCCCATCCCAGAAGGCCCACCTCTTCCGTCTCTTCCAGGCCCGCAGAGTTCCCTGTTTGTCCTTGAGGAGGCGCACGGAGTGAGGCAGGCGCAGCGGCTGGCGGATCTCCTCCAGCTCCAGCAGCACGATCCTCATGGAGTTCTCCACCAGCGCTTGGTACAGACCCGTCTGCTGCTCGGCCCATTCCTGCGCCTCC